TAAGAGAATCAATATTACTTACAACTAGAGAGATAATAAAAGATCGGATATAGAAACTATCTATTCTCAATTCGACTTCCACGAAAAAAATAATCTGCAACCTGATTCGTAATTAGCTGGATATCTACATAAAAAATCTGTGAATCTTTTAAAAAATGTGGATACGTATAAATATTTCCAGATATTTAAAAATGATATAGTTTTACTAATTTTTAAATGAGATATTGAAAAAAAAATAGCACTTCAAATAGAAGTTAATAGACAACTAAATAAAATTGAAGTATAAATCTAAGTTATAGTGCTTAAAACAAACATAATCCAAATAAAAATAATTTATATTTTTTTATAAAGTAACACTGTAAGATTTAAGATTTATTCTTATTATCATTATTTTGATTACTTAAATTTTAAAATAAATAAGATATAAATAAGTCATCAGTGAAATTAAGTATTTTATAATATTTTTGGACGGGTGAGATCCACAGGTATAAGTCTTAATATATAACCCATGCATGATGGGGTCCACGGGTTTCTTAAAAAAAACACTAGACCAACGATTTGGAAGCATTGGAAAATGGGAGCACGTGCATATTTAAATGAGATGACTGCATGCAGTGTTGTTACTTTATAGATTCATGAGTACCGTGATGTATGTGAAGTAGCATTGGGTGGGCCATGATGGTGGTGCAATTGGCAATATGTTGTACGGCATAGAATGGGGAGGTGCAAGGGTTTTATTTTCTTCTTATTGTATGGGTTTCGAGTGGTGGTGTTTTATCTTGTTTCTATGCTTTTATGAGGGGTGTGCTTTCTTTAAAACATGTGTTTTGATGGTTTAAAATGGTTATTAATATTGATGTTGTGCAGTGTGTCTATATTGGTTTATAATGAATTTGGATGCATGAATTGAATTATTGTATGGGACCCGTGTGTATTGAGAAGTGAAACCCATGTAATGAATGGAAGAGAGAGAGAGAGAGAGAGTACGTGAGAGTGAAAAGGTAACTGTGGGAAGGGTTATAACCGTGTGAAATTAGTTTATTGAATGTTGATGCATGGGTGATTGTAGGTGAGTTTAGAAAAGAAAAAAGTGAGAGTAGAATTTAATGCTTAAAGTGTGTATGAATGAAATGAGATGAATGGAATTATCAATTACGAGAAACATATAGGAAGGTGTGGGGTCCACTTTGGAAAGGTAGGTAGGGTTTCAACATTTGGTAGGAGTGTGTTGGAAAAAAAAGGGTGTGGTTAGAAATTTGTTGTATGTGTA